AGTTTCCCTGCATTAAAGTCCCCGGCTACTAGGAGCGCTGCATCTGGATGAGCGTTTTCCTGTTGATTAATGGCCTTGTACAACTCATTCAGTGCAATCTTAATGCCAGCATTGGTTTGTGGTGGTAAATAGACAGCTATGAAAAATATAGATGAAAACTCTCTTGGTAAATAGTGTGGTCTACAGCTTATCATAAGATACTCTACCTCAGGCGAGCAAAACCTCGAGACTTCCTTAGTATTTGATTTTGTGCACCAGCTGTTGTTTACAAATATACAGAGACCGCCACCCCTTGTCTTACCAGAGTCAGACGTTCTGTCCTGCCGATGTAGCGTATAGCCTGCTAGCTGAATGTTATCATTGTTGTCGTTCAGCCACGACTCCGTGAAACATAAGATATTACCGTTTTTAATGTCCCGTTGGTAGGATAACCGTAATCTTAAATCGTCAATTTTATTCTCAAAAGATTGAACGTTGGCTAATAGGATTGATGGGAGAGGCAGTTTACTCGCTCGCCGTAAACTGCCTCTCCCATCAATGAAAACAACGGGTAAAAAGCCTCTAAATACTTTCCTGCTTGTGATTTAAAATATCTGACCAATTAGCAGTGTTAAATACAAACATTTAGGAAAAGTCAGGGAAGGAGCAGGGTGTCCTTCTTTGCGAGGCATTGGAAGACCTCCCTGGTCTTTGTGGTTGAATCTGTGTTTGAAATTCACTGCACAACTGAGGGACCTTACAGATAATTGTATGTGTGGGGTACAGAGATGAGGTAGTCATTCAAAAGTCATGGTAAACACTATTATTGGACAGAGAGTGAGTCCATGCAACTTATTATGTGACTTGTTCAGCAAATGTTTACTCCTGAACTTATTCATGCTTGCCATAACAAAGGGGTTGAATACTTATTCTCAAGACATTTCAGCTTTTAATTTTTAACTAATTTGTAAAAATTTGTAAAAACATAATTCCACTTTGACATTATGGGGTATTGTTGCCAGTGACACACAATCTCAATTTAATCCATTTTAAATGTAAGATGTAATACAAGAAAATTTGGAAAAAGTCAAGGGGTGATGTGCTAGCCTGTACCAACCAAGTGATCATGACAGGATTTGCTAATCTGAGAGCTATTCCCCAAGTTTCACAGCATCAAACATCGACAACACCAAACATATATCTGCTGTTTACTTATTTCACTCACCTCGACATCATCGCTTTTCAAAGTGCAAGGACGTGTCCGAATTCGTATCACCAACCAACATTGATACAGCCTCTTCCACAGGGAAAAGTCGTGGCCACATCGGCGGCATCATTTTGAGTAATGACAGCATACCCTGTTTCCGGTTTCTGGTTGATGACAACCGGCACACGAATATGACAACAGGTTGTTAGCGAGTTAATTTTACGATATTGACACAGATATTATTGTTAGAAAAACAAGACCGTTCGCGGCCGCTATAGTAATTTAAAGAAAGGCAGTCGACGGCCGCTATGGGTTCTAAATGGCTAACAGTAACAAGGCCTGCCTATGATTTTAGATTAATCAGATAATTCATTTTGAGTTAATGAGTTTAATTGTTTGACAACATTCAGCTCTGTGAATTAAACTATTTGTGTTACATGTACCCAGTGCAATTTTAGGGTTCCCAAAATGATAGCCAATCCAAAAAGACACTTGTATATATTAAAACAACAATAATTAATACATATAATACATTGAATAATGTAATTAATTGGAGGAATGTTTACATGTGATCTATTGCCTATACATGTTTTTTTGCCAATTAAAATGCATATATCACATTGAATGTTCTATTGAAACTTTTTATTTTCCAAACCAGGGACAAGTTTGTAAATCACTGGGGTTAAGTTGTTCTGAATCATGCCTGTTGTGGGGTTTGTGAGAACTGCCATTTCGAGCATTGGTTGCATTGCTTAATATATACACTATATATACAACAGTATGTGGACACCCCTTTTAAATGAGTGGATTTGGCTATTTCAGTCACACCGTTGCTGACAAGTGTATAAAATCGAGCACACAGCCATGCAATCTCCATAGACAAACATTGGCAGTTGAATGGCCATACTAAAGAGCTCAGTGACTTTCAACATGGCACCGTCGTAGGAGGTCACCTTTCTAACAAGTCAGTTTGTCAAATTTCTGCCGTGCTAGAGCTGCCCCGGTCAACTGTAAGTGCTGTTATTGTGAAGTGGAAACGTCTAGGAGCAACAACGGCTCAGTCGTGAAGTAGTAGGCCACACAAGCTCACAGAACGGGACCGCCGAGTGCTGAAGCGCGTAACGCGTAAAAAACACTCACTACCGAGTTCCAAACTGCCTCTGGAAGCAATATCAGCACAAGAACTGTTCATATAACATGAGAGGTCATATTTAGAGAACTCTCGGCTGACAGAAACCACAATATGAATTAGCTAATAGCAATTACTATTTATAATTCATCACATCACGGGTGAGCTCACCATTGATCAATATAATTGAGTGAAACACTAGTAATCAAAAGTAATCCGACGATGGGTAGTTTGTTTTCGCTTCAACCAAAGATAATACCAACTGAGTCCCGTGTGGCTCAGTTGGTAGAGCATGGCACTTGCAATGCCAGGGTTGTGGGTTCGATTCCCACGGGGGACCAGTACAAACAAATATGAAAATGTATGCACTCACTACTGTAAGTCGCTCTGGATAAGAGCGTCTGCTAAATGACTAAACTGTAAACTGTTTGCAGTATGCATGTTGAAGGGGGTGTGTCATCTAGGATCATTCACTTCCCTTCATTCACTTCCTGGAAGATGAGAGAACCATTCCTTCACCTCAATATAACATATTTGGTGTGACAGATGTTTATGTGACACCCAGATTGCATTGTATAATGTCAACAAACATGGTGCAACACATAGCTGGCAAATAGCTTAGCATTAGCTCATTATAATCAGTACAACCTTCAAAAAAGTATTTTACACACATCATAGGTGTCCATTACAATCTATGCAATAATCGGAATGGATTAGCTGTCACCAGTGCTTGAAAAGATGTGAATAAAACTATAAATGCAAGTCAGAAAATGTACCAGTTCGTGCAAGACTGCGCAAATGTCTGCAAACTTGATCTGCGGAAACACCAGGGAAGTGCTTGGGCTCTCCTCGAAGAGAATGAGAGAAGTTTGTCGGCTCAGTAAAGCCGGAGTGCGGGACCTGGGGAAGAGGTGAGGACTGGTAGGTGGTCTGGGATGGTGGTTTGGGCTGATGAGTGGTCGGTGGAGACCGGAACAGGATGGGGCAGAGCCTCCCTCCAGGATGAGCTGCCCTGTGGACCAGTCTTCCCGAGGTTTGTGGGCGACCAGCCAGGGGTGCCCGAGGATGAGGGGACACTCCGGAGAGTCCACAATGAAAAACTGGATATCCTCCCATAGCCCCCCCGCCACCTGGACACACACGGGGACAGTGCGCCGGGTGATGAAGCCCGACCCCAATGGCCGGCTGTCCAGGCCCATGACCAGAACCGGCTCGGAGAGGGAGAGTAACAGAATGCTCCACCCTTGTGCCAGCCCCACATCCATCAGGCTTCCTGCGGCCCCAGAATCCACCAGTGCATGTGCCTGACGCACATCACGGGCCCACTGAACCCTGACAGTGAGAAAAGTCCAGGAGTCTCTGGAGTTGGGGTTTCGGTTCGCTAGCACCCGTCCTGATACTAGTGAGCCCTCCCGTTTCCCGGCTTCTCAGGGCATGAGTCGCAGTGGTGACCTGCCTGGCCGCAGTACAGGCAACGTCCCTGGAGCAGACGCCTCTGCCTTTCCATCCTGGACAAGTGCTACGGTTAGGATTAAATAAAACAATTCTCAGCAATCTACATACAATACCACATAATGACAAAGCGAAAACAGGTTTTAGATATTTTTGCTAATTTATAAAAATATAAAAATAAATACCTTATTTACATAAGTATTCAGACCCTTTGCTATGATACTCGGGTATGTGGGTATGTACAAAAAGTAAAAAGTGCTGTAATTTCTACATGGTTTACTCAAATTTCTAAACGGTTTGATGAAAATACCCTCAGATTAAAGCTGACAGTCTGTACTTGAACCTCTGCCATGGTATCATTTCAAATCCAAATTGCTGGAGTACAGAGCCAAAACAACAACAAATGTGTCAATGTCCAATAAATGTAATAAAATTGACACATGAACATTTCAGTCGAATTTAACATCTGGATCGAACAACAAACCTGTGGTAGGCCTGCATATTCAGTGTCATTGACTGACAAGCTGGCATAGTGTTATCTCTAGGTCAAGCTGACCATTGTTGACACATGGTTGGTTCATCTGAATAACCAATACTTGTTCAAGGACTTCAATAGTGTTGAGGACTAGCTTGGACCAATGGCTGGTCCATGTTCAAGTGCCAACACTCATCAGGTTTTGACATTACTAATATTCTAATTTATTACATTCTCTAACATATTAGAAATGATCATGAATGTACTGATCCAAACCTAGACAAAATATTTTCTATAGCATTGTGTTACATCATTATTTAGGCACCAAGTGCCTACTTATCTCTACTGGGTTCTGCTTCTAAAGTACAAGAGCTTTTGTTTACATTTTCATTTAGTGGTTAGATAAATAGAGAAAAATAACAAATGTAATATTTAAAGAACAATGAAGGTCGTAGTATACATAACTTGTTGGATAAAACAACACGTGATTCTCCAGACAATTTTCATTAAAGAACTGACTTAGATGGACATTGATCTGTGAAGGGCTAAATGACAGTGGGGCAGGTTAACCTAACCTATGGGTGTATGTGGCCACCTCAGAACTAGTGATAACCCACTCAACAGGCTTCATTATGAGCACATACTGATCTCGACTTATGTAACATTGGTTAATTATATATTTTGTTTTGAGGGTTTTGTCGACAGAAAATTGCTTTAAAAGGCAGTCTGGGACTGTTGTTCCTCACATCACACTGACCATGAGAGCGGTAGTACTTGCACTGACTCTAGCCCTTGTGGGTAAGTACAGTTTTTAAAAATCTTATTCTAATGCAGATATTATAACTAACTTCATGTAAATATAACTAAGTTATGTAAATATTGAAATGTACAGTTGTGTATCTACGACAATTTTTGGAAATCTGATCTATGTTTTTGAAAAACATTCAGTAATATATTGTGACAATTATTTTTGTTTTATCTTGTAGCGAGTCAACATGTTAACTTTGGTAAGTACATTTATTTTCATGGCTTTTAACTTATGTTAATTAGGTAGTTTATCTTCTGCATTTCTTTCTAGTTTAATAAATTAAGTAAAACAGTTATCAGATCACTAGATCATAAAATATGTTTTGATTGTTATTACAGCCCCTGAATTTGCTGCCAGTAAGACCTATGAGTACAAGTATGAGGCACTGCTCCTGGGCGGTCTGCCTGAGGAGGGTCTGGCTAGAGCTGGAGTAAAAGTAATCAGCAAAGTTCTTATCAGTGCAGTTGCAGAGAATACCTACTTGCTGAAGGTATTTGTTACACATGAAGTTCACACACAGACAATATCTTAATGTGATGTCCATTACATTGACTAATACATATATTGATATCTCCTTGTAGCTTGTGGACCCTGAGATCTTTGAGTACAGTGGTGTGTGGCCCAAAGATAATTTCGTCCCAGCTGCAAAGCTCACTTCAGCCCTGGCTGCTCAGCTCTCCACTCCCATCAAGTTTGAGTATGCCAATGGTGTTGTGGGTAAGGTATTTGCCCCCACTGCTGTCTCTGAAACGGTGCTGAATGTCCACAGAGGTATCCTGAACATTCTTCAGCTCAACATCAAGAAGACACAGAACGTCTATGAGTTGCAGGAGGTAAGACTTGTATATGTTCATATGTAGATGCAATACATGTTTCAGTGAGCAATGTTTGAGTTCCTCACTCATGCTCTTTTGTGTTAGGCTGGAGCTCAGGGAGTGTGCAAGACCCACTATGTGATCAGTGAAGATGCCAAGGCAGAGCGCATCCATTTGACCAAGACCAAGGATCTCAATAACTGTCAGGAGAGAATCATGAAAGACTTTGGTCTGGCTTACACAGAGAAGTGTGTAGAGTGCCAGCAGGTATGAGCATAAGTATCTATTTTTGGGGTTGGAAAGACATTACCAGAAACACTTCACATGACAGTACAATTCTGTGTTTTGTCTACACAGAGAGGGAAGGCCCTGAGGGGAGCTGCCGCTTACAGCTACATCATGAAGCCCACTGCCACTGGTGCTCTGATCATGGAGGCAACTGTTACTGAGCTCCATCAGTTCACACCATTCAATGAGATGACAGGAGCTGCCCAAATGGAAGCAAAGTATGTTGGCTGATTTGTGATTCAAAAGGAAAACATTTTCATTTTATTAAGCTTACAGGTTTAAAAGTTTCCCATGAACTACCTTTCACAGACAAATGTTGACCTTCGTTGAGATCAAGAAGACTCCAATTATGCTCTTCGATGCCAAATATGTTCACCGTGGATCCATTCAGTATGAGTTTGCCACTGAGATTCTCCAGACACCCATTCAGCTCCTTAAGATCAACAACGCACACACTCAGGTACAGTGACTCATTTACTCTATCTATTACTTGATACATAAGCCTGATAATATGTAAAGACAAAGATGACAAATGTTTAATACAAAGAGCTCATTATACTTTTTTAGGCTGTGGAGATCCTGAATCATCTGGTCACGTACAACATGGCACAGGTCCATGAAGATGCTCCTCTTAAGTTTGTGCAGTTTATTCAGCTCCTGCGCATGGCAAGCTCTGAGAGTATTGAGGCCATCTGGGCTGAGTTCAAGGCCAAACCAGCTTACAGGTAATATTTTTTAAATAATTTTATTCTGTGACAATTTCTCAAACAAAGACACAGTGACAGAAAAACGTTATTTTTCAGACACTGGATCCTGGATGCTGTCCCCTCCATCGGAAGTCCAGTTGCTGTGAGATTCATCAAGGATAAGTTTTTGGCTGGTGACATCACTATTGTTGAGGCTGCTCAGGCTCTGGTTGCCGCTGTGCATATGGTGACTGCTGATCTGGACACTGTCAAGCTTGTTGAAGTAAGTAAACCTTTAACATTTAAATGATGTTTAAGCTGTCTCATAGATTTCCTCATTAAGATGACTCAAAATTGTCGCATGAGGTGGTCTAGTGGTTAACACCACTACCTTCAACACATATGTGACCCACCACCTTGATTCGGTCTTATGTAGCAACATTTGAAATTGTGTTTTTTACATTGGATAAAAGTAGAGACTAAGAGCTAAAAAATTGTATATCATATGCTGCAGTTGAGGAACAATGGAAAAGTAATTCTGCTTTTTAGAAAATGTTCCTTGAATGTTTTGGTACACCTACTGGAGAGCTCTTCTTTGTTTACACCTATTCAGCATCATTCACACCCTCTTAAGCCTTTGCCCCACCCATATCTTTAAGGATTCACATGTGAGCCCATGTGATAAACAGAGTGAGTAAGGTAGTGTAGTAAATAACCAAAGATTTCAAGACTAAAAGTGATGAAAGTAGTAGCCTAAAATAAGGAAAAACTCCAGGTAAAAATACACTTTATCTAGTCCTTGGCCTATATCCTAATCTGACTCTGAAAGTGTCCAGATACAAATATTTTATAATTATAGACTATGCTTACCCTGACACTTTTCTAAATTGATGGGTCATGTGAAATAAATGCTATTTTAGTCATTTAAGCAGACTCTCTTATCCAGAGCGACTTACAGTTAGTGAGTGCACACATTTAAAAAAAAAATCATACTGGCCCCCCATGGGAATCGAACCCACAACCCTGGCGTTGCAAACACCATGCACTACCAACTGAACTACACGGGACACATATGTGCTCGTTGCCGTGTGGTTGCGAATCCTGGACCCACTTTACTCCTTCTACACTGTCCTAGCTCTTCAATATTTTGTAAGAAATTATATAAAGAAGACTCAAAATAATCATTTTTTCGCCACCAGAGCCTGGCTTTCAACCACAAGATTCAGACACACCCAGTTCTGCGTGAGATCGCCATGCTTGGTTATGGTACCATGGTTTCCAAATATTGTGTTGAAAATCCCAACTGCCACGCTGAACTTGTGAAGGTAAACTGGATGTATTTTCCTACAATCATTTACAGTTACATTTTAGTCATTTAGCAGATGCTCTTATCCAGAGTGACTTACACTTAGTGCATTCATCTTGCGATAGCTAGGTGAAACAACAACATAACACAATCGTATCAAATACATTTTCCCTCAAAAAAGTATTTATCAGAAAAGTCAGTGCTAGTGGAATACTCTTCAAAGAAGTAGGGTTTCAGACATTTTCGAAAGATGTCATCTCATATATAAGATGATCTACTGATTGAGGTTATTCAAACATATCTACTCCACATGTCTTCCTGCAGCCCATACACGACCTTGCTGTTGAGGCTGTTGCAAAGGGCAACTTTGAGGAACTCGACGTGGTTCTTAAAGTTCTGGGTAATGCTGGCCATCCTGCTAGCATTAAACCAATCACAAAGCTCCTGCCCGTGTTTGGAACTGCAGCTGCTGCTCTGCCCCTGAGAGTCCAGGCTGATGCAGTATTGGCCCTAAGGAACATTGCTAAGAAGGAGCCTAGAATGGTGAGTACAGTCCCTCCATTAAATAGCAAGTGACAACATCATCGTTCTCATTGGTGAAGTCCACTCAAATCTCTGCATTATTGTTGTGAATTAGATCCAGGAACTTGCTGTGCAGTTGTTCATGGACAAGGCTCTCCACCCAGAGCTCCGCATGGTTGCCTGCATTGTTCTGTTTGAGACAAAGCCCCCAATGGGTCTGGTGACTACCCTTGCTAACATTCTGAAGACAGAGGAAAATCTGCAGGTGGCTAGCTTCACCTACTCTCACATGAAGTCCCTGACCAGGAGCACTGCCCCTGACTTTGCCCCAGTGTAAGAGCACCTTTTCACCTTTACATGTCAATATATCTCTCTCAATTTCTATTTCATCAGGTTTAATGACATAGCTAGTATTCCTTCATTTTAGTGCTGCTGCCTGCAATGTTGCTGTCAAGATGCTCAGCACCAAATTTGAAAGATTGGGCTACCGCTTCAGTAAAGCCATCCACATGGATGCCTATTACAGTAAGGGCATCCTCTTATCCTCATTTGCTTGCAATGACTGACCTATAGCATCATTCACTAAATATCAACAAAGTCAATCATTAACAGTCATTTCTCACCTCTTAAAGGTCCCCTGAGGGTTGGTGCTGCTGCCAGTGCTTTCTACATCAACGATGCTGCCACCATTTTGCCCAGAACCGTCGTGGCCAAAGCTCGCACCTACTTTGCTGGGGCAGCTGCTGATGTTCTTGAGGTAAAGGCGTTTTTTTCAAAGTTCCTTGAAATGATAATGATTGAGTACAGTTAAAACACTTTTTCACTGTCCAAGCTTAATTTCTGTCACTCAGGTTGGAGTGAGAACCGAGGGAATCCAGGAGGCTCTTATGAAAATCCCCACAGTTCCTGAAAATGTTGACAGGATCACCAAGATGAAGCGTGTCATTAAGGCTGTAAGTATCAATGATCAGTACATGTTACACAGTTATCTTCAATTGCTTCAATCCCTGTAGATTTTTTAAATTAAATTGATCAATCAGGTTTGCTTTACTCATCTATCCACAGCTGTCTGACTGGAGGTCCCTAACCACAAGCAAGCCCCTGGCCTCCATGTACGTGAAGTTCTTTGGACAGGAAATTGCCTTTGCCAACATCGACAAGTCCGTCATCGATCAGGCACTTCAGGTACAACAAATGACATAACTTAATAGGTCTCCAAAAGTATTCATAAAACATTCACAGTTGAGGGACAAAACAGCTAAACCTAATAATTTCCCACAGCTTGCCACCAGTCCTTCGGCACACGCTTTGGGAAAAAATGCCTTGAAGGCACTGCTGTCTGGAGCTACTTTCCAGTATGCTAAGCCCCTGCTGGCTGCAGAGGTGCGTCGCATCTTCCCCACCTCTATTGGTGTGCCTATGGAGCTCAGTTTCTACACTGCTGCTGTCGCTAAAGCATACGTCGATGGTAACTATATCATAATAGTTATTGGTTAGTAATTCGTAGTTCTTCCCTAGATCTCTGATCTCCCATATGAATGTGCTTTTATCTTTATGTTCATAGTCCGTGCCACTCTGACACCTGCTCTGCCTGAAACCTTCCATGCTGCCCAGCTGTTGAAAACAGACATTCAGATACACGCCGAAGTTAGACCAAGGTAGGTATAAGACCAATATTTTCTGATGACATCATTAGTACCACAAATCTTGGTGAATTGAATTACTGTCTCCTCTTCCTGTAGCATTGTCATGCATACATTTGCTGTGATGGGAGTGAACACTGCATTCATCCAGGCTGCTCTTATGGCAAGAGCTAAGGTCCACACAATTGTCCCTGCAAAATTTGCAGCAAAGCTTGACATCGCTAATGGCAACTTCAAGATCGAAGCTTTGCCTGTTTCCGCTCCTGAGCATATTGCTGCCGCACAGTAAGGGCAATCTTTTTCTTGATCAGAAAAAAGGATGTAATAGCTGTTTACATTAAGTTCATATTTTCTTTACACGGCTGCCACACTACAGTTTTCTTGATATCTATGTTCCTTCAAACAGCATTGAGACCTTTGCTGTAGCAAGAAATGTGGAGGATCTCCCAGCCGAGAGAATGACTCCCATGATTCCTGCCAAAGCAGTAGCAACAAGCGCACAGCTGTCCAGGGAGAAGTTCACATCTATGATTGCAGACTCTGCTGCCTCTCTTGCTGGAAGTTTGGTGAGTTTGTATGAAATACTTGTTAAAAACTAAATTCACACAAGCATTGCCAATCAGAGACTATTAACCACAGACAGCAGACATTTGATACATTTTGTGAATTTATATTTCAGTCAAGATCTTCCGAGATCATCAATTCTGATTTGCCATCCAACTTCAAGCCCATCATTAAGGCAATTGCAGTCCAGCTTGAGAAGACAATCTGTGCCGAAAGGCTTGGAGTCAAGGCATGCTTTGAAGTTGCCTCTATGAATGCTAGCTTCATCAGAAACACTGTTTTCTACAACATGATTGGAAATCATTCAGTCATTATTGCTTTGAAACCATGTAAGCATTCATTTGGTAATAAGTTAAATTCAGGATATACTTGCAATAATTTGTTGATTTATGCATATTATTTTAGTTATTTATAATTATTTTCCATATTGAGCAGCATCTGGACCCGCCATCGAGAGACTGGAGATTGAAGTGCAAGTTGGACCCAAGGCTGCAGGAAAGATCATCAAAGTCATCACCATGAACGAAGAGGAGGAAGCTCCTGAGGGAAAAACTGTACTGTTGAAGCTCAAGAAAATTCTGGTACCTCATCTGAAGAACAGCACCAGATCTTCCTCCAGTTCCAGCAGCTCTCGTTCCAGCAGCTCTCGCTCTAGTAGTTCCCGCTCTAGATCCAGAAAATCAGGGCGCATCAGCTCTTCCAGTTCTTCCAGTTCTTCCAGCTCTTCCAGCTCTTCCAGCTCTTCCAGCTCTTCCAGCTCCTCTAACTCCAGCTCCTCCAGCTCTCACCTCTCCAGGGTGAGGCTACTGTTTCTTTCAATACTCTTTGAGTCAGATATTTATGGAGTTGGCAAACAAGGCACACGCTTGTTGCAAACATAGATTGTAAAACTGTGAAGAGAATTTATTAAATGTAATGTTCTTTTTTCCAAATAGGCTGAGGTTTACGACCGCAAATTCAAGAAGAATCACAAGGTACAATATTGAGGATTTTTCATCTATGGTATGGTTTACAAAAATAAATGTTTGTAGAGAAGTATTTCCATAAACGCCCTGATGATTTGTTTTGCTGTTTGTTTGCAGGTCTCTCAAGCCATCTCCAATGCCAGAGACTCCAGAAGCAATAGCAGCGCCTCTAGCTTCCATGCCATCTACAAGCAGGTGACACGTCACCATCATAACTTGAGTCAAGAGAATCATCTCTTTCATTGTGTGCCATTGGGAGAGAGTGCAGAGATAAATTAACCTTAAAATGTGTTTCTCTTCTCAGGCCAAATTCCTTGGCAAAACTCTCACCCCTAAGGTGACCATCCTCTTCCGTTTAGTGAGAGCTGACCATAAGATGGAGGGATACCAGGTTGCTGCTTACTTGGACAAAGATACTTCCAGACTGCAGATCATTCTGGCTGCCCTTGCTGAGAGTGACAACTGGAAACTGTGTGCTGATGGTGTTCTGCTCAGCAAACACAAAGTCACTGTAAGATCAAATTTCTTGTAAACGGTGCTACAAAATTGCCTTCTGATCGTTTCTTACTATTTAGATTGTACTGTGGGTAACAATGATCTCTATTGTATACAACATTTTTTTTACACTTTCTTTTGTTCTCCTAATTAGGCCAAGATTGCTTGGGGTGCAGAGTGCAAGGAATATAACAGCTTTATCACTGCTGAGACTGGTCTTGTTGGTCCAAGCCCTGCAGCTCGTCTGAGGTTGTCTTGGGACAGACTCCCCAAGGTTCCCAAGGCTGTTTGGCGCTATGTCAAGATGTATGGTTACTCAATTTGTAATTTACTATTGATAGCTGAATGATGTTACAGAAGAAATTAAGAACAACTTCTGATTTGTTTAACCTTCTCCCTTCTAGCGTGTCTGAGTACATCCCTGAGTCCATCCCATCTTACCTGGCTGAATTGGTTCCAATCCAAAAAAACAAAAATAGTGAGAAACAGATTCAATTCACTGTGGTTGCAACATCTGAAAGGACCCTGGATGTCATTCTGAAAGCACCCAAGGTGAGGAACATTGTTTTTCCCACAATTGCATTTTCTGCAGTTTTTCTTCTCCAGAGTTCTCTTCTTGGTTGACTGTTTCTGATGAGGATTTGTGTATCTAAATCACAGATGACACTGTATAAACTGGGTGTGACCCTCCCCTATCCTCTGCCCATTGGGTCTGTGACTGGTCTTTCTCCCTTTGATGACAACATTGTTAAAAAAATCCACTACTTGTTAGCTGAAGCCAACGCAGGTAAGCAGAAACAGTTTTTAAAAAAACAAGAAAAAAATAATGCCACAGTAAATGGAAATTTACAACGTTAAAAAAGGCAAGGAAGGTATAAATTAACACTATTGTTTTTCAGTTCAATGTAGCATGGTCAAAGACACATTGACCACATTTAACAACAGGAGGTACAAGAACGAGATGCCTCTCTCTTGCTACCAAGTTTTGGCTCAGGATTGCACCACAGAGCTCAAATTCATGGTTCTGCTGAAGAAGGATCACGCACATGAACAAAACCACATCAATGTGAAAATTTCTGACATGTGAGTATTGTTTTAGAAAACAATTGCTTTTGACACAAATATGTCTTAGTTCCATCAATAACATAATGTATGAAATGTTATCTTTGATACTTCCAGTGATATTGACATGTACCCTAAAGAAAATGATGTGATGGTGAAGGTCAATGGAAAAGAAATTCCCATCAACAACCTCCCATACCAGGACTCCTCAGGTTTCCCATGCTCCTTCAAACTTATTTATCAACATCACAATAACTAGAATCATCTAATGTACTGCAGTGATAAGATAATAGAAAATGGCCTCATCCATAAACTACAACATTGTTTCTTTTCTTGCCTAAAGCTTCTATCAAGATCAGACAGAAGGGTGAAGGCTTGTCTCTCAATGCCCCAAGCCATGGTCTCCAAGAAGTCTACTTTGATAAGAACTCATGGAAGGTGATTGGAATCTTATTTCATAATATCAATAATACTGTATCTTTACATTCAATTCATAAATAGTATATTACTTGTTTAAACTGTACTAAAACATAAGCTAGAGTCGTTCTAAGTTGTTATATGATTTTGGCACTCAGGTTGAAGTTGTGGACTGGATGAAGGGACAGACTTGTGGAATCTGTGGAAAGGCTGATGGGGAAGTAAGACAGGAGTACCGTACACCCAGTGGCCGCCTGACCAAGAGCCCAGTCAGCTTTGCCCATTCCTGGGTGCTTCCTTCTGAGAGCTGCCGGGATACATCTGGTAAGTCTTAGCCTACCGCCTATGCAGCATTACTTTAACAAATGTCAGTTCATTTAGTTAACATATTGTTACTGTACCTCTCTATCTCAGAATGTCGCATGAAGCTTGAGTCTGTGAAACTGGAGAAGCAGGTGATTGTTGATGCCAAGGAGTCCAAATGCTACTCTGTTGAGCCTGTGCTGCGCTGTCTGCCTGGATGCCTCCCAGTGAGGACCACTCCCGTCACCATTGGTTTCCACTGCCTGCCCGTCGGTGAGTCTACAATGGACAACTGTTTTACTGAAGACACCATACTGTATCTGATGTATCCAATAAATACTGATCTGCAGTTCCTACTTTCTTTCCAATTACAGATTCCAACCTGAACCGCTCTGAAGGTCTGAGCAGCATCTATGAGAAGAGTGTGGACCTGAGGGAGAAGGCAGAAGCTCATGTGGCCTGTCGCTGCTCTGACCAGTGCATGTAGTGTTCTGGTGGAGCAGATGCTGTAACTTTTATAACAGAATATCTGTAATTTCACATCACTGAGATGTAACCTTCAACATTCTTGACCACTCAAATTGTAATAAATCCAACTGTGCATTCAAAGATGGTCTCTGATACTATTTTCCATGTTTTTCATTTGCAAAAAAATAGCCCTCTATTAACAGCAATCTAATGGCAATCACTTTTCATGGTGAATTGTCAAATAAAATACAAAATACAAAAAGAGGTCCGTGCCAAAAACACTTTCAACGTGACAGAGGAGTCATACTGTAAGCGCATCCGACTTGCTATGACTGTTCAGTATACCATTTCCATTGCACTGCATCTACAACAAATACAATAGCTTAGACCAATATTGTTTTGTTGTCATCATCACAATCAATTGAAGGGAAAGACAGTTTGTCAATTTCATTATTCAATATATAGAATTATATCTCTTATTGCATTTAGTGTTGGTGTATCAGCAACATTTAATTAAAAGTACATTCTAAAATGATATCCAATATTTAAGGGAAAAACTATGTTGACCATGATAACAAATACATTACGCTGTCTGACAGAGTGCTTACGCATAAAAATTCAAAGATATAAAACTACATGACCTTAACAAAAAGGTAATACAATAAAAATACATTTGACATGAAATCTATACAAATGACATCTACGAACAAAAACATTACCTTAAAAACCACACTAATTTGTTCCTCTGTCATTTATAATGAGTCACTCAGCAGTCAAAATATTATGTCTCTATCAAAACACAGTCAGGGGCCTTGTCCGTCCCAAAAACACTTGGACTTGTCCCCATGGCTATCCAACTCGATGGATTCTCCATTCACCGAGCGGACAGGACATTGGATTCAGGGAAATTGACAGGGGGAGGGGTATGCCTCTTCATCAACAGTAAATGGTGTGCTGACTCTAGAGCAGTTGAAGTCTCTACCCATTGTTCACCCGTCTTGGAATACTTGATGGACAAATGCTGACCTTTCTACCCCCCGAGAGAGTTTTCAGCTGTTATCGTGATTGCTGTGTATGTTCCACCTCAGGACAAGAGAAACAGGCTGGAAACCATGCACCCGCAAGCTGCTTTCCTTGTTGCTTGTGATTTTAGTTCAGCGTCATTAAGACACGTAATGCCCAACTTCCATCAGCACATCTCCTTCGCCGCAAGGGGTGATAAAGACCAATGTTACTCTAACCACAAGCAAGCATACAAGGCCTTCCCTCGTCACCTTTTCGGCAAAGCAGATCATGACTCTATACTCCTGCATCCTGTCTACAAGCAGAAGCTCAAACAGGAAGTACCCATGACGCGCTGCACTGAGAAATGGTCCTCTGAATCGGAGGCTATGCTACAGGACAGCTTTGCTAGCGATGACTAGAATATGTTCCGGGACTAAGCCGATAGCATCGACGAGATAACCACCTCCGTCACTGGCATTAGGAAATGCATCGACGACGTTTTCCCCACAGTGAAGGTTCGCTGCTTCCCCAATCAAAAGCCTTGGATTAACACAATAGTGCAATATTGCATACAGAGTTTTTAAGGAGACATACAAACAGGTCTGCTGAAACTTTTGAGGCCTACTTGGATATACCTGGGCACCCTACTCTGCACTGGGGCATTATCTGAGCAGGCACCTGCCTACTGCTGCTTTCATCCTTCGACTTGACATTGTGCCTACGATATTTTTGGACTACTGACAAACTTGAACTCCACTTGGTTGAGCCTACTTGATTTACTCTTTTTGACTTTCCCGCGGCCCGGTGTAGTGCTTGCCTGCCTCCCGGCTTCCACCGGCCTGTACTGGAAACTACATCCCCTCCAAGGTGCTTCTCTCCTGGCTATCATACTGGTAACAGAGTCTCTGTTGCGTTGCTGTTTTGATGGGCATTTAAGCGCACTGAGTAAGTCACCGCTCACTTGTTGCGTTTGTTATGCTGGCAAGTTTTGTGCCTTGTTTGTTTTTATTGTGGGTCCTAGGCAGGTTTCTAGTCTGTGGTTGGGATCTGGCTTGCTGCCTAAAACTGTGGTGAGTCTACCTAACTATCTATCTAACTATCACACTGTGCGGATTGATTGACTTTTAGCTTATTCCTCAACCTATTTTGTGTGGATTTTAAATGACTTTTTCCAGATTGGCGGCTACCACCTTCAGAGCCTACGGTGATCGTTTCATCCCATGTAGGAGATGCACCTATTTTGCACAGCTCCGGGAAAATATTGACCGGCCAAATTTCCAATGTGGAAACTGTCAGCTTATTAAGGAATATATGTCTGAGCTGGACATCCAGAGTAAGCAAATTGAGACTTTGCAGCGTATCCTGGATACAATGCATTCTGAAATTATTCAGACCCCTTGACTTTTTAAAAATGTTGTTACGTTATAGGCTTTTCTAAAATTGATTAAATATTTTTTTTTTCCTGATCAATCTACACACAATACTCCATAATGACAAAGCAAAAACATGTTTTTAGAACCTTATTTACATAAATATTAATACCCTTTGCTATGATACTCAAAATTGAGCACAGGTGCTTCCTGTTTCCATTGATCATGCTTGAGATGTTTCTACAACTTGATTGGAGTCCACCTGTAGTAAATTAAATTGGTTGGACATGATTTGGAAAGGCACATGTCTATATAAGGTCCCACAGTTGACAGTGCATGTCAGAGCAAAAAACAAACCATGAGGTTGAAGAAATTGTCTGTAGAGCTCCGAGACATGATTGTGTGGAGGCACAGATCTGGGAAAGGGTACCGAAACATTTCTGCAGCATTGAAGTTCCCCAAGAACACAGTGGCCTCCATCACTCCATCTTTAACCCGATTGAACATCTCTGGAGCGACTTGAAAATAGCTGTGCAGCGACGCTCTCCATCCAACCTGACAGAGCTTGAGAGGATCTGCAGAGAAGAATGGGAGAAACTCTCCAAATACAGGTGTACCAAGCTTGTAGCGTCATACCCAAGAAGACTCAAGGCTGTAATTGTTGCAAAAGGTGCTTCAACAAAGTACTGAGTAAAGGGTCTGAATACTTCTGTAAATGTGATATTTCAGTTTTTTGTTTTTAATACATTTCCTACAATTTCAAAAAAACTGTTTTGCTTTGTCATTATGGGGTATTGTAGGTACATTGATGAGGGGGAAAAGTGTAATCAATTGAAGAATAAGGCTGTAACGTAATAAAATGTGAAAAAAGTCAAGGAGTCTGAATACTTTCCCAATGCACTGTAAGTCCCACTCTAAAGCCTTTTCCTTTTTTACTACTCAGCCTGGTCGTCGTGCCACTGCCTTGCCACCGTGTCACCACTCTTCGACGGACTGTCCAGGACTGCCCTGCAGAGACCTCTCCCTAATAAAGTCACCTCTCCCGTCCACTCTTAGATCTGCTATTGTTAGCTCAAAAGCTAAGCCCACTGTGGTCTGCTCACCCAGTGCTTTTAGTTCAAATGTGAATTCCATAAACTTGAATACCCCCTTGGTTTTCTAATCACGTAGAGGGCTTGGGCTGTTGCACGATACCAACCAAATCCCATGTAAATCAGATTATAACATTCCATCATTGGTTACTCTGAGAGTTCCTCATATTGACATTGGCTGCGGCCTCAGGTCCTATGGTGCTAACCTTGGAAAAGTAATTTATCATTCCTTTATTACTAATAGGGACCAAATGGTGCAGTTCTATGCAATCTTATAGCAATACCAACTGTATCAATATCAACCATCAGACAGGGCCTGCAACCGCCTATTGAAAGTAGCTTGTTTGACTCCATGTGACTTAAAAAATCGTAAAGGACTTGGGTTGATGCATCTGAACATTAGGAGCTTACTTCCTAAACTGGATTACATCAAGATCTGGGCTATGCAGGCGAATATGGACATGCTGGTATTGACTGAAACTTGTATCTCTGTGGACATTCTGGACTCTGATATAAATATTGAGGGTTATAATGTGTTCAGAGCTGACAGGCAGGGTAGAGGTGGTGGAGTGGCCATTATAAATAAATACAAATTCTGTCTCTTTACTGAAAAAATTATTTCCCTTGGCCAAAAATTTGACCTACTATCTTTAAGCCTTTGTCTGGTGAAAAATGTATCCAGAACTGTTATAGGGGTCTACCATCCTCCCTCTGATAACTTATGTGCTCTCGAGGAGTTACGTAGTTTGTTGTCTTCTTTTATTAAATCAGAAGTTACTATCCTGGGTGACCTAAATTATGATTGGGAAATGCAGGCTTCAGACAATCTGAAATACATGTGTAATGATCTAATCCTTACTCAGCTGGTGACTAAGCCTACATGGCCCAAACCTAAATATCCTTCAAAGTCAACTCTGATTGATCTTATTTTAATGAACATACCAGAGAAATATGTTTCTACTGGTGTCTTCGCCCAAAACATTAGTGACTATTGCCCAGTTGTTTATGTGAGAGACGTGAGAATATAAAACTCTAAGCCATGGGTCATCACAAAGAGGAACTTAAAAAACAGGCTTTTTTACATGATCTTTATTTGAGTGACCTTGATTGTATTTCAGCTATCCCTGAACCTGAGTTAGCTTGATTCCTTTTGCAGATGTCTTCAATAATATTGTGGATAATCATGCTCCCTTCAAAATAAATAAGGTTAAAGGTAGATTGAATGCCTGGTATATTCCAGAATATCAGAAGTTATTCATAAAAGAGATGATGCTTGGGTCAAGGCCAGGAACAGAGGCTTAGGCCCGGACTGGCAGGCTTTTAAGCAACTGAGGAATCATTGTGTAAGACAAATCAGAAAGGCTGAATCTGATTAATATTTAACCGCTCTTTCGGATTGTAATGGAAACCCGGCAAAATTTGGGAAAACTGTCAAATCTCTGAAGAGTTCTACTTCCTCCTCTCTGCCACAACAAATTCATCCAGACACTGGCCTCATTACAGACATTTTTTTCATAATTGATGCATTTAATTACCATTTTATTTCAACAGGC